TCAGACGCCTTGGCTCTCATCCTAACTCCCTGGCAAAGAGGCTAATTTGGAGACCAACAAGAAGAAGACTGAAAAGAAACCACCCACATGACCTTCCATTAAGATATATTTAACACCTAGTCTAACTAAATATCAAATGAAAAGAACTAATGTATAATCTTGTATACCAACACTTTGTTATCCCCTATATTTACAACCTGCTCAAGCTGCCACATAGGTAGCAGTATACCTGTTAATCTTGAATAAATATACACTTTTACAAAAAAAAGTTTTCCTGTTTAGATGGCCCCATTGCACGGGTCAGGCATTCCTTGCAAAAGACGTGTCCACACTTGGTGGCCACCGGCTCCTTGACCACGTCAAGACAAACCGGGCATATGCAGGGGTCCTTGTTCCTATCGACTAGTTGCTTGATGACGGGATCTTCGGTCAAGTCAACGATAGCCTCGGGCTCAATTCCGTCGGCTGCTCGGCGAGTACCCTCCCTTTTAATGGGCTTCCCGCGTACCAAACTTCGCAAGGATTGAAACATTTCTTCACGTTTATTATTATTTACTGCTCCGTAAACTAACACACGCTGTTCGTATATAAACGTACAGTTCTGACGAAGGACTCAGGGGTAACTGATTTTTCTTGAACTTAGAAAGATTTTCCTACTTTCAAGGTGGGTTGCCCTAAATCAGTGGTCGGCAGCGGCCTATCTAGTGAGCATAGGGAAGTGTTCTGCCCATGGTACAATTATACAAGGTAGTCCCGTCGGCTGCCTAATCGTTCGGCTTTCAGTTCGTTAACGTGCTTCAGCGATATTGCTATCCTTTTCACCTGCACGTATTGCGAGTATCGTTAACGGACTAAATTTTGCCGACGGGACTACCTTGCATAGTTGTACCATGGTCCCGGCTTGTTACTTTGGAACTTATGGTTCGATACCATCATCGAACTAGATTCGTAGCAATCGATAGGTGTGCTAAGAAGATATGACACTCACACTTTCACATAATACTTAAAGCTAGCAATATCGACTCTAAAAGATATCACGTTAATACTCAATTTTAATAATATAAAATACTGCCAATGCTAACAACATAGACACATCTATTACAGCTAAAGCCTAGTACTCAGATCGGATAAGAGTTTCACTAGTCGAAAAATCGATGTCCGTCAAATTAGCGTCGGCCTGTTAGCAACGAAAGTGGAACGGTGGAATTTGGAACATGGGGGCGCTTAAATTTTCTCGCTTTTTGGGGACTAAATCGAAAAATCTAAAATGCTACATTGTTAAGAAAGAAAAGATCTATCGATCTAGGTAGGTTTGGGACAAATCCGAGGTCTATTAATGTTTCAAAAATGCATTTGAAAAATCGTGTCCCCACAATTTTGTTAACTGCTCCCCTCACAGAAGTTGTGCCAATATGCACGATAAGCCAAGCTATTGAGGGTTAATTCAAGCTCCTTTTCTCACAGTTTTCGAGAAAATAGCCTAACAGCGACGCAACCTCGGATTTTCCCCATACAAAAAAAGGGGGCAAAAATGAAATTACCTACGGCTCCACTCCTAGAGGTTGTGCCAACATGCACGGTATATGGGTAGATAGGGGATAATCTACGGAGTCTTCTGTGAAAATTTTATCAAAATCAAACCCACAGATTTTCTGAAAATTGCTTTACAGTTGGGGGTGTTAAAAATGTTAATAAAAGGCCATTTAATGCAGAAACTGAACCATTGGATACTAAGACATGAACCACAATGTAAATAGCTTAGCCATGACAATCATTCGACGCTAACTTTCTATAACTTTATACAACTTTCACAGAGGTTGTGCCAACTTGCACGGTATCGCATTCGAAGGGGCATCATTTTAGCTAATTTCTGAATAAATTACAGGCAATTCAAAACCACAGTTTTCGAGAAATTCAAGTATTTTCAATTATGGCTTTTGCAACGCGGTCACACTGTCCAGGCCAGCGAGAAATCGTATGCACCCGTGACATCAAACATCAAAATATATATGCAAACTTTAATTAATTCATACAACTCTCACAGAGGTTGTGCCAACTTGCACGGTATTGCATTCGATGGGGCATCATTATAGCTAATTTCTGAGTTAATTACAGGCAATTCAAACCCACAGTTTTCGAGATATTCAAGTATTTTCAATTATGGCTTTTGCCACGCTGTCACACTGTCCAGACCAGCGAGAAATCGTATGCACCCGTGTCATCAACCATCAAAATATAGATATTTTCTATGCAAATTTTAATTAATTCATACAACTCTTACAGAGGTTGTGCCAACTTGCACGGTATCGCATTCGAAGGGGCATCATTATAGCTAATTTCTGAGTTAATTACAGGCAATTCAAACCCACAGTTTTCGAGAGATTCAAGTATTTTCAATTATGGCTTTTGCCACGCGGTCACACTGTCCAGACCAGCGAGAAAGCAAATTCAGCCAAGACATTTACCACGAAAAGGTATTTATCGATATATCGCCAAGTGCCAAGCTACGACCTACAACACTTACAACACTTAATTGAGCCAATCGAATACTTTTGGCCGCCAAGTATTGAAAAATATATATTTTATATATCAAATTTTCATTGTGATATGTATGCACCCCCTAATTGGTATTTATTTCCCTATTATTTTAATGTATCGAAATCGAGCCAGTGGTTTGGTAGAATTTAACATTTTATTGATTTAAGAAAAATAAAAAAAAATTCCCAATTTGCTATTGTGGAGTTGCCATACTGCCGAATAGAATCCCCGTTACTTTTTGCGGGAACTTCATACAATATGGCACGCCAAATATCAATGATTAAATGCGTAAGTTTATTTTTGATTTTACTTATTAATTATATTAACAATAAAAATTAATTTTTCAGACAATCAATCATTTTTATCTGGGATCGAAATTCACTCGCTCATCTGAGTACCGCGCTGAAAAACAGACCCGACGAAAAGCTTTAGCCGCCTGTTTGCCTCTCGCTCAATCCTATGGTGATACTGTCAATGCTAACAATATAGATACATATATTACTGCTAAAGCCTAGTACTCAGATCGGCTAAGAGTTTCACTAGTCGAAAAATCGTATTCTTTATAGTGTTACCGAAGTATTCAAAGTTCACCCGCAATGCGTGTAGCATGGTCTTACTGTCCAGAAAAATGGAAGGACTTTAAAAAGACAAAACTGCTGGTGCACAAATAAATACAAATAAATGGAATGTTCAAAGGATGTTTTTATTTTTGTTAATTATTAGTTGAAGGCTTCTTTCTCTTGCTCCGGATGCTTTGCCGTTTTCTTCGCCATTTGTCGGTTCGTCGGAGTTCGTATTGCTGGAGCTTCTGCTAAAAGGATACCTCTGTTATATTGCTTCCTGTATTGTCGTCAGATTTTGATAAAATTTAATTCGAAATTCAAAACTAATTCAAAAATGTAATTTCCCAGCTTAGAAGGTTATACGTTAAAAAACACCAAAGATATAATTTTTTTTTTTGTCTGATTATTCCTATGGGAGCTATAAGATATAGTTGTCTGATCCGGCTGGTTCCGACTTATATACTACCTGCAAAAGATATAAGACTTTTGGGAAAGTGTCAGCCCGAGCTTTAAAACTGAGAGACTAGTTTGCGTAGAAACGGACGGACAGACGGACATGGCTAGATCGACTCGGCTAGTGATCCTGATCAAGAATATATATGCTTTATGGGGTCGGAAACGCTTCCTTCTGCCTGTTACATACTTTCCGACGAAACTAGTATACCCTTTTACTCTACGAGTAACGGGTATAAAGAGCATACTAAAAGCCACACAAAACTAAAAGAATATAAACATTTGTTAAGAAATTCTTTCCCCGCTTAGAATTTGGAAACTTCATCTAACATTTCAGTACAATACATTGTTTTTAATAAAGAAAATGATAGGCAAAATTGGTTCGATGACAATAATTTTAGTAAAGGAATTATAATTTTTGAAAATTCGAATGAAGATGATGTAAGTATTGAAGATTTACTTTTTTTAATGTTTCAACTCAAATTAGTTAATTTTGTCAAAACATTTTACGAGCGTTCTACTAGAGGAGGAGCAACAGCGCAACAGCCGCTTTCACAACCCGTTGTACAGCGATGTTACAAAGCCGGAGTGCGAGGAGCCGGTTGATAAATATGAACAGGAGGCGCACGAGCCGGATGACGATGAGCCGGAGGAACAGGACGAGATGCGGGGAGCGATTCGACCGCGCTCCCAGGAGCTCCAGGCTTCAAGGGCAGCTTTGCCCACACTTTCAACAGCAGCAGTGGCCACCCCGAATGCATCCAACAGTAGCAATAGCTACCTAAGTCAACGTCACGGGCACAACCATGTGCATGGAGGACATCAACTGGCGCCGCCTGCATGGAAGCCAAAAACCCGCTAAGCGGTTCCGTGTCCAACGACGGTGTGGAGCTGCTGCCCGATATACAAAAGCTCCATTGGCGCGATCGCTGCAAGATCAAGATAGCATTACAGAACATACTGCAGGACTACCTTTATCCGGACTAGATTTGATCTCTGTGTATACTTTCCGCTTTTAACAACGGAACCCAGTTCCACTCTCGCTCTTATTTATATCTTCTGTTAGTTTTCGTTGGTTAAATCCCTTAAAGCTTTGCTGTGCAAGAACAAAGTATCCTTTAAGCGCTTTGAACTTCCTCACGTACTCGATTAATTTATAGATAAGCAGTTCTCGAGAACAGTTTGCAACGCAAAGCCATCAGAAAACTCTTTTATTTCGCCGGAATTTACGAAACTGGCACGGAAGTGTAATCATGGCACGCCAAATTTCAATGGCGAAATGTGTATATATAAAAATGTTTTTTTATATCATTAAATATTAACAATTATTCTTTTTTTAGACAATAAACTACTTTTTCCTGGGCGATCAGAAGAGCCGCCATTTCGGCGCGCAGGCGCATAATGTTCACCGTGTGCTCCGCCTGTAGCTTAAGGTAGAGCTAGGGATGCAAAAACATCGATGTCACTATCGATACTATCGATGTTTTTTAAAACAGCGATGTATCGATGCTTTTTTTCGAACATCGATGTTATCACTAAGAGATACACACGCAAAGCAAGTGGTACGTAAATTGGGAAAAAGTGCACATTTTTCCATTTTATTAAGTATTGTTACAGTTTGATACAGGTAAAACATATTAGGGCGGTTCCTCTCGGCACAATGGACAGGTTTCTGCACATAACAAGTAAGTTCCAGTCGCAGCAGTTGTTATTTCATAATTTTAACACTGTATTGCGTTTTAGACCACGTGTCTGCTGCTTCGTCGTCTGCTCCAACGTCTGCTGCTTAGTCAAAAATAAGCCAAGAACTTGGAGATCCGATGCAATAATCGAAATGCGGCAATATTTCGAGCAACAGAATGCGCATCAGAAAATAGATCCGCTCGAATACTGGAGGGTAAATTTTTTAATATTTTACATTTCTTCTTGAATAACCCTATTTTCTTACAGGTTAATGAAGTTCAATTCAGCAATCTTGCGCAGTGCGCGTTAAAATATTTATGTATACCTGCGACATCTACTGACTCGGAAAGGACTTTCAGCAAGGCAGGACAAATCGCGGACGAAAAGAGATCTCGACTTAAACCTAAAACTTTGAACATGCTGTTGTTTTTACAGAAAAACCAGTGGATTATTAGTTAAGATATAGATATCGATTAGATAAGTAAGATAAGTAAGAACTGAACTGAACTGAACTGAACTGAACTGAAGTGAACTGAACTGAAATAATGTGATTCCATTTTTCTTTATGATTTCGTTAAAATATGTATTAAGATTATGCTTTTTTATTTGTTTCTGAAAATATTGTTGTTGTTTTGTTTGAATAAATATAAGTTTATAATAAGTTTCATAAAAACAATATTTTAATTAATATTTGGAGGGTTTTATGGTATATATTCATAAATTGAAGAAAATTTCGATGTTTTTAGCGAAATTTCGAGGTTTTAGCAAAATTTCGATGTTTTCGCGAAATTTCGATGTTTTAGCGATATATCGATGCTTACAAACATCGATGTTGAAAACATCGATGTACTCACTATCGATGTTTTTGCATCCCTAGGTAGAGCTGTAAGTCCATCGATTTAAATATCGATAGTATTGATAGTGGCTGTGCTGCGGAATACCTCGACTATTTTTTTTTTTTCGACCATCGATGTATCGCGTTATAGCACCATCACTACTTGGTGTCACGAAGCTGACAAATTCAATGCAAATACAAAACGAGTAAAAATTGACTAGTTTTGGACAACTTGTTAAATAAATGTGATTTCTTTACTAGATAAAAGCGACACCTGGAATGATTTTTTATTCATTTTTTCCTTTTCATTATTCCCAACGAACGTTTGAAATTGTTTTTTACATTTTAAACATTGTCTTAAATAAGCAAAACCTTCATATTCTTAATTCTTTGTGAAACGTATCGATATTTTCTTTATGGTCTCAAATCGGTTTCATATTTTTATCACGATATTATACCATTTATATAGGATTAAAAATAACTTAAAAAATTAATCCATTTGACAGAAGCAAAGATATGGCGATGCCAGCATTTTTAATTTTTATACAAAATTAGTATTATGTTCTATACATGATTCTTGTCGAACCCTTGTTATTTTACACCATGTATTTTAAAGTAATACATAAACTTAACAAAGAAAAGACATTGCCATATCTTTGCTGCTGTCAAATGGAATAAAAACAAGGAAGAACGCTATAGTCGAGTACCTCGACTATCAGATACCCGTTCCTCAGCTATATGGAGATATGCAAGCAGCAAAGCGAGACTAAAATGCGCCACCTACCGGCGGTATACAGATTTAAGCGTTATGGCCGTTAGAGTGGGCGTGGCAATCGATAGGTATCGACGAGACCAATTCATTTCAGTTAAAATTTTTTATCTAGCATGAAAATTGTGGGCGTCACAGGTTTTCGCGGTTTGTGGGCGTTAAAGTGGGCGTGGCAAACTTTTTTTTGGGTCAATCGATAGGTATTGATGAGAACAATACATTTCAGTTAAAATTTTTATTCTAGCATCAAAACTGTAGGAGCCACAGTTTTGGGCGGTTTGTGGGCGTTAGAGTGGGCGTGGCACTGTGCCGAAACAAACTTGCGCTGCGTAAGAAGCTCAGGAATCTGCACGCCAAATCTCAATAGCCTAGCTCCCATAGTTTCCGATATCTCAGCGTTCATCCGGACGGACAGACAGACGGACAGACGGACAGACGGACATGGCTAGATCGACTCGGCTAGTGATCCTGATCAAGAATATATATACTTTGTGGGGTCGGAAACGCTTCCTTCTGCCTGTTACATACTTTCCGACGAATCTAGTATACCCTTTTACTCTACGAGTAACGGGTATAAAAATATATATGAAATCCTTTTGAGACCATAAAGAAAGTCTCTATACGTTTCACAAAAAACCACTCATATGTAGCTCATAATTGTTAAAAGAATTTTAATTTGTTGATAACTCCAAATCTAAACGGTAAGTAGCGGAGAGCAACAAAACAATTTTTATTTCCGATTTTAATAGTCTAATGTTTACCGGTCTATTGTTTGTGTGGCAGCTGTGTCTAGGCCATGCAGTCTAAACTATTTAAACAAAACAGCTTTATACCCTCTACACACAACCGCTTATGCCGATCAAATGTTCGCTTGAACAAGAATCTGCTTTAAATTGCAACAGCGATATTAAGCAGCTGTGAGCAGGGCTTTAAAAGTATTTTTCTGATCAACTCATGTTCTTTGGAATAACAATATCATTTATTTTAATATTTGTAGATCGCACTACGCCAGAAACACAAATTGTGTTGTAAGCATGAAGTGCCAGCAGTTTGCTTAAAAAATGGCAACCAATCAGATATAACTAAGTTAATCTGCAGAGAACATGTTTGAAGGACTAAGTTCACTAAAATGGTTAATTTAATCAATAAAAATGTCCTTTTTAAACCCTAGCGTATTTTTACTGAGAGCAACCCTGGTAGCGCTGCTTGCTAGAGGTGGGAAATCATCAATTTTATCATACATCGATATTTTCAAAAAATATTAATCGACCCTGTTCTAGTTTCTACTTTCCCAGAACTCTTCCGAGGCTCACTTCCGAAAGAGCTGCACGGATTGCGGATTAGAACTTCCCTCTGTTGTTAGACTGATAACTCCCGAAAAACTGGAAGGGAAATTATCCGCCAAGCATTCCGCTGGCGGATTTAAGTTTATAGTCTATATAACATTATCCGAATTTAAATTTATTGCATACTTTATTTATTATTAATTATTTTGTGATTGCAACACAAAACCCGGTAAAAAAAAAACCCCGCTGGGACTTGGACAATGCACTCGATCTATGCTATATTTAAATCCAAGAACCACAAAAAAAAGAGGGTTATGCTGTTATTAATACATGAAATTATTAAGCAATTTTAATTAAATGTTTTTCCGATAGGGTGCCAAGTACAATATTATGTTATTTGTGCTAGCTTAAAATTTTCATTTGGGACCTGTTTATTTGGACCTGCCAAATTTTCGATTTGTTATTAATTTCCGAACTTTAGACCATATTTCAGTGGTTTTAAATCTTTGTTTGGTGGAAATTCGCTGATTTGTAGACTGCACCATGATTGCAACTCGTCCTTCTTTTCCTTCCTATCCATCGGCAGCGGAAGGAATGAGTGCCTTCTAGACACGGGCACCCCCAAGTTCGAATAGACAGTAAGTCACGGCACTCTACTACATAGGATTTGTCAGATTTCTTCTCAATGATTTGGATCAGTCGAAGTATTCGAAGTGCCATCTGACATAGAGATACTTACCATACCTTACTATTCCTCGAGCTCGAAAGCACTAACACTTGTACTAAGATCATTTTGGCTTGTGAAAAATTATCACTTCGTTAAATTTCGGCTTGTTTTTGTGTGAAATAGCACTAAAAAAAAAAAACAACAAAAACAGCATTTGTTTTTAAAGAATCGACTTCGTTTTTGCTTGAATGGCGATTTTCCCTATATTAAAGAAAGTGTAATTTTCAAATCAATGGTGTTCTTTTTTAAAAAAGAGAAAAAAAATGTTGATATACACAAATCTGTTCTACTTTTAGAAAACCGACCGAATGGGATTGAAAGTTTTGGTCTGAGTTCGTTCGAGTTAGCTGATGATATAATATAAAATTTCAAAGGGGGAGTGGTGTTAATCGTGTATTGCATCTAACATATATCCTAAAAAATCATAAATTAATAATATTATTATTAACAAGATGTATCTTGACACAAAAGTAAATGAATGAAAAACACATTTTGTTTTAAATTTTGGTATTCAAAAAAAATAATTTTATAAATGTTGTTAGTGGCTACAAAGCGACGCTTTTCCGTTATTACATCTAAAAAACCCTTTTGGCTGCAGCACTACTAGCTGGTATACAAGAACTGTTCAGCTTTTCTTATATAAAAGAGGCAAATGACGTTTTTCAGAGTACCAGCATTCAAGTCTGTGGAGTAAACCACGATGGATTTTAAGCTGGTTTTTTAGTGCCCACTTGACCTTCATTTTTAATAATCTCTGGGAAAACCACATATTCAGCCATTAGTCATAAATGGGAGGATTGATTTATTCTATGAGTTTCTTTTTTCACTTAAATGCTTTGAAATGTCACTCCAATTGAACTCTATAGATCTCAGCAAGTAGAACACTGTGTTCCACCTAGTTGGAGAGTAACTTTTTAAAAAGAGTTCTAGTGAGCTGTTTGATCCAGACTTCTTAAAATATTTAACAAGGCTTAAACCATTTCGGCCATATTCGGTAAAATCTTGATTTTCTTCTCTGTGCTGTTGTTTAACAAAAGAACTTTTTGAATTAGCTGCAATCACCTACGGTCAGACACAATTGCAGGGTTGTCATGCTCGAATTGTTCCAATTTATTATTGTTGTTAAATTGTAAAAATAATTGACTACTAGTTTCGAAACGTTTTTCTACCTGTGCAGGAATCTACGTTCATGGATTTTATAGCCATTAGGAGAGCTACTAAAAGACCTTCAATTATATAATTCACTGTGCTGGGTAGATGAGATCATTTTAGGAAATTGCATGTCCATATATCGCTGGTCAATGACCAGAGGAGGAAGCACCAACAAAGAATATGCCAAAATTTATAAAATTATAATTTCTAAATTTCACAACTAATACATTTTTTAATACCTTTACAATAATAGTCAACAATCTTATAAAAATGTATTTATCTTCCGTAATTTTTGTGACAGATCTTTCCCAAAACAATATGAATACCGTTACTCTTCAAACAATACTTTTACTCTAGTAGGTCTATTTAAAACTTAACTTCAAATACAAAATGAATAAGTAACTAGAAAGGTAAAGAGCTGTGCTTATTAGCGGAAAGAAAACATATACAACTAAATAACTTTTCTGCCTATTCATATACAATTCTTATCGAGGAGCCAACATTAAGCCTGGCGACAGGCCAAACACAGGACTACTGTTCCATGTAAATGCACTAGAATACGAAAACCCACAGAAGTTAATATGTAAAAAAAAAAAACAAAAGGTACAATTTTTTCAAAATTTTTTTTTCATATTTTTGTTCATTTATTTGGGAGCTTTTAGATATAGTTGTCCGATCCGACCTTTACGTTACGACCTTTATACTACCTGCAATATAAATACGACTTTTGAGAAGGTTTCATCCCGATAGCTCTAAAACTGAGAGTCTAGTTTGCGTAGAAACAGACAGACGGACATGGCTAGATCGACTCGGCTAGTGATCCTGATCAAGAACATATATACTTTATGGGGACGTCTCCTTCATTGCTTTGCAAACTTCTGACTGAAATCTT